GGGAGGAAGTGCATTTAAAGTATTAGACAAAGGAAATAGGTCAAATCTCATAGATATCACTCAGATGTTGCTTAATTGGACTGATAGCATTTGAAAGAGGAAGAAATAAGTATTAGTAAGGGATTTATTTCTGTAAAAACTCATTGATAGCCTAGTTGTGAGCAATTGATGGGGGAATCAAAGAGGACTAAAAGGGATATCATTGCTGTAAACTGATAGTTCCCAATATTTCAGTGTTATCTAGTGGCACGTCTTAAAAATACATATTCCTGGCTGGGCACGGTGGCTCATGCCTGTAATCCAAGCACTTCCGGAGGCCGAGTTGGGCGGATTATGAGGTCAGGAGATCGAGACCATCCTGGCCAACATGGTGAAACCCCGTCTGTACTAAAAATACAAAAATTAGGTGGGTGTGGTGGTGTGCGCCTGTGGTCCCAGCTACTCGGGAGGCTGAGGCAGGAGAATCGCTTGAACCCAGGAGGTGGAGGTTATAGTGAGCTGAGATGGCGCCACTGCACTGCATCCTGGTGACAGAGTGAGAATCCATCTCAAAAAATAAAAAAGAACAGATTCCTGGGCCTTACCATCTAGAGGTTCTGATTTAGTAGGTCAGGAGAAGATTGGGGGAATATTTTTTTGTTGCTGTTGTTTTAAAAATCAGTAACCCTGAGTTGAGTCAGATACAACCACACAGACTCATAGACCCCCCAGATAGGTGGAAGGTTTGGGTGCTGCTTTCCCATCACAGATGATGGGGATGTTGCAGCCTTTGAGGTTTGAAAAGGCAAGTACCTAATGCATTCTTTTTATTTTTTATATTGTTTTTAAAAGACAGAGTCTTGCACTGTCACCCAGGCTAGAGTGCAGTGGCGTGATCTCCACTTACTGCAACCTCCATCTCCTAGGTTCAAGTGATTCTCATACCTCATCCTCCCAAGTAGCTGGGATTACAGGCGTGTACCACTATAGCTAATCTTTGTATATTTAGTAGAGATGGAGTTTTGCCTTGTTGGCCAGACCAGCCTCAAACTCCTGGACTCAAGCGATCTGCCCATCTTGGCCTCCCAAAGTTCTGGGATTACAGGTGTGAGCCACCATGCAGCCCCTAATGCATCCTTGTCTTGCTGTTTGTTTCACCTTTCAGAGAGCAGAGGATTCTAGAGGGGAATTAATTAGAGATGTGTTTATAACCATTTAGGAGGATTTGGGGTTAATGATGTGAAGTAATATAAACCTTTAAAAGTGGCCATGTTCTTAGCCTGGGCAACATAGTGAGACCCTGTCTCTACTAAAAAAAAAATTTTTTTTTTTTAAATTTGCCTGGCATGGTAATGTACACTTGTAGTCCCAGCTACTAGGGAGGCTGAGGCAGGAGGATCACTTGATTTTGGAAGGTCAAGGCTGTAATAAGCCATGATCATGTCACTGCACTTCAGCCTGGGTGACAGAGCGAGATGCTGTAATTAGCTGTGTTCTGATATTAAGTGCAGAAACCGGAAAAGGAAGATAGATAAGTACCCCAGCATTCGAAAGATTGAAAGAGCCAAGTCTGTTAGTCCACGGCTAGAGACTGAATGAAAATGTTTAGAGGACTGACAGATTCTGCAGTTTGAAATTCTGATTAATTTGTCAATCCTAGTGATGGAGAGGCACAAGTAGAACCCCATGTGATTATCCTTGGATTTCCCTGATTTTAAGTAAACATAGAAGATTGAAGAAAGGCGGCCAGGTGCAGTGGCTCACGCCTGTAATCTCAGCTCTTTGAAGGCCAAGGCAGGAGGATTGCTTGAGCCCAGGAGTTTTGAGACCATCCTGGGCAACATAGTGAGACCTCATCTCTACAAATGATTAAAAAAATTAGCTGGGTGTGGGGGTATGTGACTGTAGTCCTAGTTACTTGGGAGGTTGGCGTGGGAGGATTGCTTGAACCCAGGAGTTTGAGGTGGCAGTGAACCATGATTGTGCCACTGTACTCCAACTTGGGTGGTAGAGTGAGTCCCTGTGAAACCTTTGAGAATGGTACCAAGAGGACCAAACCCCAAATAATGTAAAATTGGCCAAAATGTTGAAGTAAATTGAAAGAGTTGAAAACAAAATAATTAACTATTTGGAGCAAGATTATAAAGAATGAAGGAATAATGTGCTTAGAATAGATAGTGTAGTGATAATAGAAAGAAACAACGTATTTTCACTCCCATTAACCTAATTCCACCCCCCCAACCCAAGAATAATGGCTTTAAAGGAAAGGTTAGCAAAGTTGTATTTGAAAAGATGTGAAGATATTTAGGAATCTCATAGCTCGTATAAACAAATAGGCCTAAATACATTGTATGTCTGGATAGTGGCAAAACCTGTGGTTGTGATTTTTCAAGTTGTAGAACATTGTGAAGTAATTGAAAACCAGTATGCAGAACTATTGGGTACGGTTGTGCCCTGTACAGCTTGTACAGTTGCACGTGGTAGTCTTGCATGATAGCACCAGAGATGACTGATGAACAGAATTCCTGGTTTTAAGAACTGGAGAAGGTGTTTTGGGGGGATTTAGCTATGAAATTAGATGTTGTACTTTAGCAGAATTCTTAGATGAGTTTCAAAGGCTAATCAGCCTCTGAAAAGATTGTGTATGGTTGTGTAAACCTAGAAGGATGTATACAGAATGTGAAAAGTTGTTCCCATCTCTGGGAAATGGGGTTTAGAGATGTAAAAAATTTTGCTCATCTACACTTTATAGATTTTCTATAATGAACGTGAACTAGATATGTTTAAAAGGGATACCAAGCAGCTAGTGTCAACATGTAAGTGAAAAATTTCAATACAACTTCATGTAGTAAACCCCAGCACGGGAACATGAAAGCAGCCATACCAAACTCACCTTATTTCCTTTTTGGATAAAGTTACCAGGCTAGTAGGTAGGTCTGAAGAATGAAGTAAATAAATGGTAGTATCATCATAGGCCGGTTTTTCCAAATACCTGAGGACAGAATAGAGAGATATGGGCTGGGCAGTGGCACATATAGATGACTGCAGACCGGATGGCTCAGTGTGGGTGCCCTGGGCATATTGATGAGTGCATCAGTGTTAGCTTGGAGGAAAATATTATAATAATAGCTACTAATAGCTAGTGTCATGGGTGCTGTCCTTGGTTCTGACCCATTTAACGTGTTTGCCAACACGGTTTAACATGTTTGCCTTAGTACTTTAGCCCATCATGCAGGTCTGGTGTGGAATACCCACTCTTCTGGATGTGACAAAAATCAGAATTCTAGAGACTGAAATGGATGGGTCAAAGCTTTGAAGGTGAATTATAGTAAGGATAAATATAAACTGCACAAAGCTGCCCCTGCCTTTCCAACTAACTGTACAAATAGAGCATTAGGGGACATTGTTTTAATAGGTGTTTTGGGGGGAGAGGCCTAGGATTTTATTCTAACGTACTGCCATGTTAGGCGTCTTCTGTGATATGACTGTCAGAGGAAGTCAGTGCAGCCTTTGATCACATTAACTGTAATATAAATGACACGCAGGAAAGGACAGTGGTCCCAGTGTAGTCTTTATTCTTAGATCATAGCTTGGGTCTTTGATCTAATCCAGAGTAAGACAATTTTAGTATATGAAGGACCTGGAAATTATAACCAACGGTATAATAATAGTCATTCTTAGAGTTGAAGAAACTTTAGTTTGTAAAGCATTTTTCGTGCATCATCTCATTTTGATATTTTCAGAATCAAGTAGAGATTATTATCATAATCTTATACGGATGAGGAAACTGAGACTCTGAAAGTTTAATAATTTACCTACATCTGGCCTTTCAACAACCAAGTTTAGTGCTATTATACTTCTTCTAATTATTTTGAGAAAAGGAACAGATATTAACCTTGTAGAGTGCTTTATTGTCTATAAAATGTTTTTGTAAAACTGTTGAATTTGATTCTGACAGTGTGAGAAAGGACAGTTGTTACTGGTGGTTAGCATTTTGTATGTTAAGGCACAAAAAGTCAAGGCACAGGGATGTTTCAGTGTTTGTTTCATGTCATAGAACTAGTTTAAGTGGTGAACCTGGGACTTGAAATGGGGATTTTCTGATGATATGTTCTGTGTTCTCATCCCTGCACAGAATAAGCTTGGGGATAAGCTTTATTTCTTGCAACTACAGAAGACATGCTTACTGCCACAGGATGGGGGTTTACAGGTGGCAACAGTGGTGGCCATGTTGATCATCTTCCCATTGTGAATGTCAGGCAGAGGCTGGGAGTGGTTTTCTTTGAGAGTATCCTTGTATCGTGTGGGAGGTTGAAGCCAATAACCTCTAAGATTCTGGGATTTGTAGACATGGGGTTATTGCTTTTGAAGATTGTCCCCATCCGTTTAGGAACAGAAAATGGATACTCACAAAAGATGAAAAGATTGACAGAAACACATTTAAGCACAATCGACTTTAATTATTGGATTGCCATTTAACTTTTCGTAAGTTTTTCAAGACGAGTCGGTGTTTTACCTTGTTTGTCTTCTGACCTCCCGGGGATTTACACCGGGTATGGATTAATGGGGATATGATTTGTTATGAGAGACAGTGAATAAGATGGGAATGAACACAAACTTTGAAGCAAGAAATCTGAGTTCCAGTCTTGGAGTGTAAAATCTTGAGTTCTTTACCTCTCTGTACTTCATCTGTAAAATTTGGGGCATCATTGCCCCACAGGAGGGCTGTGAGAGTTATATAAAAGAAAATGAAGTCTTTTATCATAATATTTGACAAATACAGAACTGTCCAAGGTCAGCTTTTACACACAGAGAAGAGTTGCTGTTAATTGTTTATCGTAAAAAATCAGAACCAAAAAGAAGTGTGTATGTTTATGTACTCATGGATTTGAGTATCTGTACAACTTTTGATATTACTAAAATATTTCAGGATTTCTTTATTCCTCTTATCTTTAAGGAAATGATGGCTGGTTCTTTTCTATCTCTCTTCCCATTCCTTCATTCCCTTTTTTGTTTTGTAGAGCAAGGCTTAGATCACATAGCAGAAAACATCCTTTCGTACCTGGACGCCAGGTCCCTGTGTGCAGCGGAGCTGGTGTGTAAAGAATGGCAGCGGGTGATCTCAGAAGGAATGCTGTGGAAGAAGCTGATTGAACGAATGGTGCGCACTGATCCCCTGTGGAAAGGACTTTCAGAAAGAAGAGGGTGGTAAGTACTTGGGTTGCTTGTTCCCTTGAAAAAATTTCATTGACAGAGTCAACTTGATTAGTTAAAAGTGCAATTTTACTTGCAAATGTGCTGGCCTATTTTTAAAAAGAGGGGAAAATGAGTGATCAAAAGTTGAAAGAAAAAGTTAAAGCTGTTAAAATTTCTCCCTCTGAAATGTGTATTTCCTTTATGAACTGTATTATATAGTTTGAATGGGATTTGGCTTTTCAAAGCTATGTGTTTATGCTTTTTCCTTCACGTTTTGCTTAGGTGATGATACCATTACCAAAATATAGATACGACAAAAATAAGAGGAAGTCAGGTAGTGCCACTTTCCTGTTTGTTATTACTTCTGGTAGAGGAAGTAATAGTGATAGGATTTTTCAGAGAAAACTCACAACTCTGATGCAGCTTTATAGCTAGCTCTATGCTGTATGGCCCAGTTAGCACAGAGAGAGCTACAGAAAGAGGTGCATATAGGGCTGTATTTTCCTTATGAGTGAGGGTCAGAGCTGTATTTTCCTTACGGGAGGAAGTTTGATGTGTGCTAAGTTAGATGTTTCACAATGTAGCGCTTTTTATTAAACTCTATGGAATAAAAGGCTAGATTGTTATATATTAGTACTCAGAAAACAGAAGATCAGGATTGTGTTAGAGAGCTGTGAATTGAGCTAAACTTGTCTCTAACATGTAAATTTGTCAGAAATCCTGCTTTTGAACAGTTAAAGCTCAATGCAAGTTAAAAGACATGAAAGATACATCTTTGTCAGCACCATGTTTAGATAAAATTCACCCTTTTATGTGCAAAAATGTAACATCTGTTTGTTTTTATTTGCCAGGGATCAGTACCTGTTTAAAAACAGACCCACAGATGGCCCTCCAAATTCATTTTATAGGTCATTATACCCAAAGATTATCCAGGATATAGAGGTAACTTTATGATTTATCTGTTTTATGGGCTCTTAGTGTCTTGTTCTCGACTTTTTATGTTCCCTTAGAGTGTTCTTTTGTTCTAAAATCGTAGAACTAATAATTTTTTTTAAAAGTTGGGCTTTTGGAGTAAATGTGTCACGATGTATATAATCTGCAGCTCTTCTTCAGAAAAGATAATGTCTTTTGCAAAGAATATCTAACTTTTCTAAAACATGAAATGCTTCTGCAAGGCTGCCAGTTAATTCAAGCCTTAATCTAAAATCATCCTTTTATTCTAATCTGATAAATTTTCCAAAATCCCTGGCCCCATTTTTTAAAGTAAGCATCGTTTTACATTTTTGAGCCATCTCTAGAGAACTAGAGAAGGCACATTCCAAGTTTTCTCTGTACATTACTCATAGTTTTTCATAAAAATGATGCAGATATCATTCTAAGCAACAGTTAGGTGGATTTATAGGGCAGATTATGCTCCTGGACCGTTTTGGATTTGAGCGTAACTTCACCAGACCAGTAAAACTCTGTAAACTTGATGAGAAACACTGGAGATGTTTGATATCGTTCATGTGTTCTAATTAGTTCAGTTTTACTATTTAGACTTTTTCCTTGAACCAGGAAAGACATGCACAGGCATTTCTCATTAACTCTTTCACATGTGTTCTTGGCAGGTCTTGGTTACTTCACTGTTTCCTCCTTGGCAGAAAAGTTTAGCCTTTGCTAGGCGATGCAATATCACCCATAAAGTTATACTCAGTTTCCCAAATGTGAAGTAATCCTCTCCCCCAGGTGATAGACATAAAAGTTATTGTGCCAAAATTCATTAAGGGAGAAACATGTGCTTTTTCGGACCCCTCCCCCCTTCCAGGCAGATGTGAATAATGGAATCATTCCATTAATGGTAAATCTGAATGTGACTGGAATATCATTATTTAAAACACAAACTGTCTTGAATATTCTGCTGTCTGAAACGATTATAAGCAACCCTTTAAGGAGGTTAAATAAAAACTTTCACTAGATAAATCATAAAGTTTAAGAATTAATTGACCATTGGCAGTTCCAAACTTAGAGTAAGTTGCCCCTGCAGGGCTAGTGGCTGAGACATGGTGTTAACTTTAATCTTAGGTTGATGTGTGTGTGTCGTAGGGGAGATGGGGCTGTCGCTTACCCCTAGGTAGTTGTGCTAAGGCATTTCTTATGTACACATCTTATAAACTACATTACATTCTGTTTTTTGTTTTCCTTTGATGAGGGGCAACTATTTACAAAGTTATCTCCAGACTTCTTTGAATAATTTTATCAAAAAAATTCTTTGGAAAGAAGGAAAGAATGATGTTTAAAAGAATGATGTTTAAAGTTAATTATGAACAGGAACCTTGGAAGAACTCTGATCAGGTTGAAGATGTGGCGACATAGATTATTTTATTGAATCCTGATGACTGCTCTTATAATTGACAATGTGAAATCAGTATTCTGTGACATGACACTATGTGACACCACCTGCCATCATCATTTCTTCAAGCTCAAATGATATTTTAAAGTAGGAGGGGAGGCAGGTGTGAGAGGAAACAGCTCTATGGGAAAACCCTGTGCGACACAACCTCTACATCACGGTGGTCTACCCAGTGGTTCTTAAAGTGTGGTTTGGAAAAACCCACTGGTTGACCACAAAAGTCTTCTCCAGATTTTTGTGGGCTAGACCTCTTAATATAAGCGATGATGTTTATACTTTGATATATGCACTACTAGTAATAATCATAAAAGTAATGTACCACTAATAGCATTTACTTATGCCAGATACTTTGTTAACTACTTTATAATGCATTTTCTCTTTTAACATTTTGGACAAAACCTGAAAGGTAGGCCAAGTACTTATTTAAATTTGAGGGAACCTTAGAAGGTTAAAACGGTTAAACAGTTTAGTCAGGATCACACAGCTAGTGGGTAATTGAGTCTGTGATCAACCGTATACCCTTCTACCTTAATACGAGTTTTTAACAATAGACCACTGCTACCACCTCAAAATAGATTTTTTTATTCCTGTTTTGGGAGTGTGTTTCATTCTGTCCAGAGTAAAACAGAATATAGAGAGTTATATGTAGAGAGTTCTTTCAGTGATCCTGGATCAAATGAGAGACTCTCACGGGCTTGACTCTGTTCATATGGCTGGTACAAAATCCTCACAAGCAGACTATAATAATTACAAATACCCACTTCAAGTCCTTGCATATATCAAACTGTGTTGGGTGATTTACATAGGTTACTGTTTTTTATTCTTACAAGGTGCATGTTATTATCTTTATAATAGGGGGAAACTGAGACTAAAAGAAGTTTTAGGACTTGCTGCATAGTTAACTAGAAGAGATGGGATGGGATTTTAACTGAGGTCTGTCTAGCTCTATCCAGGCTGAGAGTTGTTGTTTGTCATTTTCAGAGTGGAAAATTCAAGAAGTAAGGGAGAAAGAGGCATGTTTTATGCCTGCTGAATTTCAAGGTGGTGTTTGCCTCCTTCTCTAATTGTGCGAATACTCAGTGTCCTTGACTGTTCATTGAAAAAAGGGTATGAGTTAAGATCTGATTAGTGGGCCCTGTTTTAGTCCACTTATGTGAAAGTAGTAGGGTTTTAAGCACATTGCAGAAAGATAAATGACACTTGGAATGTCAAGTGGCTGTTTTATGTCCCCCTCCCTCCCCAGTTGCCTGTACATAGCTTTAGAGTCTCTTGTGTTTTTTCCCATCTACTTTGCAGGGTTGCCAGTTCACAACACCTTTTTCTTTTTTTCCTTCTTCCTCCACCTCGACAGCTTGGCTTATGTGCCGGCTCCTGTAATCTGTACATTCCCAGATTTGGCTTTGATGAACAGAAAGGAAATGTTCATCTCTGAATCTGCCCTTCTACATTGACCCACCAAAAATTGGCTTAATTTTAAGGGAAAATAGAGAACCTGGCTTAGTGCAGCCAACTCCTGTTATTCAGGAAATGAGGATGTGAGAAATGGAGTCTGGGGAGAATAAATATGTATTGTAAGCTTTCTGCAAAGGCTCATCTCGCCTGGGTGTTCTTGCCACACATAGAGAGGGTTTAGAGGGCCTCTGAATTGAGAAGGAATTCCTAGAAAACCTGAGGCTCACTCCTAAAAGAAGCAGCCATATTCTCCTTTGCTGTCTGGAGTCTTAGTTGTTGTTGTTATTGTTGTTACCATCAATGGTGGGCTGACTGTAGATGCTTTGCTACAAGTGATTTAATTTAATCCTCAAATTGTCAAAGCTGAGATTTTTACTCCAAAGTCCATGCTGCTTTCACTCTAGCGTGCCCCCAAGTGCCCATTAACAGAGAGTTGGGAGTTGTTATAGCAGCCCTAGAGTTCTGGTATTCTGAACTTGGGTTTTTCTCTTTTGCCATTTGAGTAGTGACAAACTCCTTCAAGTAATCTACCTTCTTCCTCTCTTCATTCATTGCATTGAAGCCTTTGAAGTGCTCTTCTTGGACAGACCACTGGGAAAATGATGGTGTGTTGTATCACACCTTTTAATAAGCCACATTTTATTCAGGGAAAGCAGGGAGCTTTTTTTGTGGTTTGCAAACCTGATATTAACATTGTCCTGACCAGAAAATGTCAAAACTTGCCCACCCACCCAGTTGTGTTTAGGCTTCTAAAAATAATGTTATTCCTCCATACTCAGACATCTGTTTTCACTCTATTGCCAATTTAAATGCCGCTGTATACTCTGTGTATCATGGCTACTTTCCCAGTATTTTGAAAATTTGCGCAGGGTAAGGGGATTTTACAAGTTCTCAAAAACATGAAATATTCCTCTACAGTAGCCATACCACATGATGGCTAAGTGAAATGATAGGTATCCACATAATTAAAGAGGTGCACCTGTGTATGACCTCTCTTCCTGCTGCTGGCATTAGGATAATAGTTGGATTCCATTTGAAGGCTGAGCCTCTTCCTGGGAATGGTTAGGGAAGGCTCAGGCTTATTAGCATTAAATATCAGCCTACACTGAGACAACGATTTCTGGCAACTTTGTGAGAATTATGTATTTGTTGTTGCAGCCCACTTTCTTTTTGGTTAACGTTTTCAACAACTGAAGAAGAACGTAACTACCATTCGCTGGCACTATAATGAGAACTTACATACATAATCTCATTTGAACCTTAACAGTGGTTTTGAGGGAGTAGATATTACTCTTCCCATCTTTACAGCAGTGGAAGTCCTTTGCCGAAGTTGCTACTTGACCCAGGTATTTTCTACCACAGTGGGCTACCTGCCAGTTTTAAAGGTCTAGTTTTTCTAAAAAAAGACCTGGCTTATAAGCATTCAGGTAAAAGTCGAGGTCGTCAGACATCATGGGGGTAGTTTTTGAGGCTGGCGTAGTTGACAGGAAGTGCTGCTTTTTTGTGCAGGTGGCCTAGGGAATTGAGAAGAGGAATTACCCAGGGTTGGTGCGCAGCAAAGCAGTCAACTCCCTGCTCTGGCTCCGTGTCTCTTTCACGGCTTTTCAAAACAAGCTACACTTTGGGATTCAAGAAACTGATGATTTCTAAAACAGGCCTAGGTGAGGACTTTGTAAAATGACACATCAAGAATTGGTTGACAAACTATTTCTTTTAAAATGCAGAAACTTATTCGAGAAAAGTAGGCTTTTTGTAAGTGTTGAGAAGCTAAGCCGTTTGCTAACTTCCGTTCAACTTAGAATGAAAATCTGGTATCTAGCAGAGCTTTTGTGAGGTCCTCTTCCCTAGCTCTTACTTGAGGGTTGGGGATAGAGAGTATAGCTCAGCCTTTACTGTTGTTGTCATCCTCTGTCCAGACATCTCAGGGGACTGATGTATCACAGGCTGAGTGTGTACAGAGGACCCTGGCTCCTCTGGGCAGTCTTCTCTGCTGCGTCTTCAGGGCTTTGGGTACAGTTAAAGATTGTAGCCACATCACCCACTTCTAGGAAACATTTTAGAGTAGTGGGAGAGCATGTAGGAAATTCTTTTTGGTATAGGGATTCCCCCCACCCCCTCTTTTAAATTAAAATAATTGTTTCCCCCTCAAACTCTCATGCGGTAGTAAATGTGCTTTTTCTAGTCATTGAAATATAAAGCTAAACAAAGCTACTTACTGCTTCAGTGTCATCTTAAAGCAATTGTATACCTCTTAAACCTAAGAACAGCTTGGTAACACCTGGCATATATGTAAAAACATATTATGTATTCATCTTTGTAATACTTTGGGTTCATATGAACTCATACATTCTGTAGCAACTCTGTGGGCCCCCAGAGGGTATAAGGTGAACATTTGTAACCACTGCCAGGAGTCACTGGCCACAAAGTAGACTTGTTACCAGTACATCTGCCTACTAAATCAGCATTTTCCTGGAGTGCTCAGCATGCTGAGATGGCTCAATCATGATCTAAAAATACATTGTTTCTCTCAATGATTCCATGCGTTGAGTTCTGCTTAAGAAATGCCTGTATTCTGGACCTCTTTTTAAATAAAAAAGTTGCTTATCCGGACAGATCCGTTGTCTGCTTTGATAGAGGTAGCAGAGGTGGTTGGGTTATGTTTTTTTATTTTTTATTTTTTTTTATTTTGAAGTGTGCTTTTGTATGTCTAATATTTTACCAAGTCACTAGAGATGATGACCCAGGCTAGGAAGTTCTGACTTGGTGGCAGATGGACAGATGAGTATTTCCCCTCTCCTGGCATCTCCATGGCACGTCCTTGCATCTCCTGGGCATTGGAAATACGCCATGCTGCCCTCACAGATGTGTATGGGAGCTCCTCAAGGGAAGATACCGTATTTCCAGGACTCTTGCTAAGCTCTGGGGCCACAAATTATAGAAATACTCACTTTTTAAGTATACGTGTATCGATATCTCCAACCCTCCATTTCCTTTTCTATAAAATGCAAACAATGATTCCTGCTTCAGAGTTACGATTAAATTAGCTACAAAATATATAAAGTGAGTGGTATAGTGTTAGGAAAGCTTAGTGCCTGGCACATAGCTTTCAGTTAATTTTAAGATTTTAGAGTACACAGAAGGATACTACCTTCAAAATAAGAAGAAATACTTTGTTAGATGTCAGTAGAACCAGTAATTAAGTACTCCTTTCTTCAACAAAGCAGATAATTAGACTTTTAGCTGTAGAGAAATAATTAGCTACTCAGAGAGAAACTATATCCTGAAGTATAACAGATTATTGAAATCCCTATTTTCCCCTAATTTCAAGGATCAGGAATTCAGACTTTAGTTACTCTTAGTAGAGACATTGTATCTTTTGAGCCTTAAAAATCACTTATATCTACTCCCAGAGGTTAGGTCTTCTGGTGCTCTGGGTATGACCTACTTCTTCACTAAACTTGGCCCAGTGGTCCAGGCTATAGAGCTCATTATCTCCCTTAAGTCCTGCAGCACTTAGAATTTTTGTCACTCATTTGGCACTTTTGGAATTGTTACTGATCTTACGTTCTGTGTGCACTGCCTCAAGAGGCAAGCCCATCCTGTTTTGTATTGAATATGTTAGTAGCAAAGTATGGGTTCAGAGTCAGAAAGAACTGAGTGTGATTTCCAGCTGGTCTGATTACTGATTTTGTGGCTGCAGGCAAATTAAACTCTGTTTTCTTGTTTGTAAAAAGGAAATAATAAGTACTTCCTCCTTCCAAGGTTATTATGGATCATTTAACCAAATAAACTTAGTTTAGTGTCTATCTATTCCAGACGCCATGGTCCTAGATATTGGAATGGTGCCTCCCTGAATTCAGTATGTCTCCTGTTGATCTTTTTATCCTCAGTGCCTAGCACGGTACCTGGAATATATTAACATCTCAGCAAATGTTGCATGAATGATAAGAGGAACAAGAATCCAGGGCTAAAGTGTACCATTTTTACTCTACAGAAACATTAGGAAGGTTAAAAATGATAAATAAAATTCTTCCTATGTAGTTGGCTTATAGTAGTTGCTCAGTATCTTTCCTCAGTGATCAAGACAATGCTTTGTTTGGGTATGTAGATTGTCAATATATGCTTAATGATGGTTTTTAATTGGCATTAGGGAGCGACCCAATGAGTTACTATTTATTTGCGTGTTTTGGGTGCAAATGGCATTCTTTAAACATACTGAATTCTGTCGAGGCCAGTTTTTTTCAAGCCCAATCCAAAACTCATTGGAAATCCTATGACAGTTGCCAGATGGGCAGGGAAAGTTTAAGAGAAAACATTGTTGGGTTAATGTCTTACTTGGAAAAGAGCATGATCCTATCCACAGACAGTTATGCAAACCAAGATTGGGGTATTGATGGTATGCTGTTTCTGGAAGCAACGCCGAAGTCTGAAACCTAATAGAATAAGTTGATTCACAAAAACTCATCTCTTGTCTCCTTTTTCCCCTAGACTATAGAATCTAACTGGCGGTGCGGACGACACAACTTGCAGAGGATTCAGTGCCGCTCTGAAAATAGTAAAGGTGTCTACTGTTTACAGTACGATGATGAAAAAATTATCAGTGGCCTACGAGATAATTCTATTAAGGTGAATGACTGAATTTTATATGTATTATTTTTAGAATCGTGGCTATGTGTTAGACACTAGATGTGACAATCTTTCCATTTACTCCAGATTGGTTTTTATCTCTTCCACTCAATCTTGGCAGCTCTCGGTGTAGTTCTAAAGAACTAGAGCCAGAGCATTTCCCCGTAACTAATACAAGATCCTGGATTGTCTCACTTCTTATCCTTCTCTAAGCACAGTCACGTTCTTTATTCTGTATTAGGTGTAAATAGAAAATATCCCAGTATCACAGGGCTCTTGGTTGCTTTGCCGGCTGGTAAGGGTATTGGTAGTTTATAAACCAAAGCCATTACCTTTTATAGTTTCTGAGAAGGACTCAAATAATAATACCACAGAATGATAGCAACTTATATTGTTTTCATTAACTTTTCAATAGTAGATAAACTATTATTTCTTATGTTTAATCTGATGGCTGATCTAATCTGATTTTATTTTACATTGTAGCTTATGTCCTCATATTTTAGAAAGCATCGAGTTTTTTAAATTTTGTAAAAAAACATAACTTACAAACAGGGAAGTTTGCTCTTTTGTTGTATAATTATGTGAGTTTTGATAAACACACAGAGGTGTGTAACTGTAATATGGAGCAGCTCTCTCATTCCCCCAATTCCCTTGTCCTGCCCTTTTCTTTTCCTGGACTTTTCTGCCTCTTTCCTGTGCTTACCCATTCACCTGTTGAAGGATGTTTGTGGTGTTTCCAGTTTCTTAAAATTATGAATAAAGCTACCATAATTATATACCTGTAGGTTTTTTGGGGAACCTAAATTTTTAGTTCATTGGGTGAAAACTGAGGAGTGAGGTTGCTGGCTCATATGGTAAGTGTATGTTTCACCTGCTAAGAAACTGCCCAGCTGTTTTCCACAGTGCCTGTACCATTTCACATTCCCATCAACAGTGATGAGAGTTGTTTTTTTTTTTGTTTTTTTTTTTTTTGAGACAGAGTCTGTCTCTGTCACCTGCCTCCTGGGTTCAAGCAATTCTCGTGCCTTCCTACCTCAGCCTCCTTAGTAGCTGGGACTACAGGCACGTGGCACCATGCCCAGCTAATTTTTTTGTTTTTAGTAGAGATGGTGTTTTGCCATGTTGCCCAGGCTGGTCTTGAGCTCCTGACCTCAAGCAATGCGCCTGCCCCAAAGTGCTGGGATTACAGGTGTGAGCAGCCACTGCACCTGGCCTGAGAGTTGCTTTTGTCCTGTATCCTTGTCAGCCCTTGATTGTCTCAATTTTTTTGATATTAGCCATTCTAGTAGGTATGTGCACATACCTCATTTTGCTTTAAATTCGCATTTCCCCAGTGATGATAGTGAGCATCTTTCTACATGCTTACCTGCCATCTCTATATTCTTTGGTGAAGTTTCTTTTTGGATCTTTTACCCATTTTTAAAATGGGGTTCTTTTATTTTATTATTGAGTTTTTAGAGTTCTTTATGTAGTCTAGATACAAGTCGTTTGTTAGATATGTTTTGCATATATCTTTCCCAATTAGAAAATGAAAATATCTTTTCATTTTCTTTTTATTAAAAAAAATTTTTTTTGAGACAGAGTTTTACCTTTGCCCAGGCTAGAGTGCAATGGCGCAATCTCAGCTCACTGCAACCTCCGCCTCCCGGGTTCGAGTGATTATCCTGCCTCAGCCTCCTGAGTAGCTAGGATTATAGGTATGCGCCACCACGCCTGGCTAATTTTTTGTATTTTTATTAGAGACAGGGTTTTTCCATGTTGGTCAGGCTGGTCTCAAACTCCCGACTTCAGATGATCCACCTGCCTCAGCCTCCCAAAGTGCCGGGATTACAGGCGTAAGCCACCATGCCTGGCTATCTTGTCATTTTCTTAAAGATCTCTTTTAACAGAGCAAAAAATTTTAATTTTTTTTTTTTTTTTTTTTTTTTTTTTTGAGATGGAGTCTCACTCTGTCACCCAGGCTGGAGTGCAGGGGCATGATCTCGGCTCACTTCAACCTCCACCTCCTGGGTTCAAGCAATACTTGCGCCTTAGCCTCCCAAATAGCTGGGACTACAGGCGTGCGCCACCATGCCCAGCTAATTTTTGTATTTTTAGTAGAGACGGGGTCATGTTGGCCAGGCTGGTCTTGAACTCCTGGCCTCAGGTGATCTGCCCACCCAGACCTCCCAAAATGCTGAGATTACGTGCGTGAGCCACTGTACTTGACAGAAGATTTTAATTTTGATGAAGTCCAACTTACCAGTTTTTTCTTTTATGGATCATGCTTTCGATATTATATCCAAGAAGCCTCTCCCTGAACTCACTGAATCTGTAAATTTACGTCTTTCATTACTTATATTTCAGTAGTCTTCCGCCATTATTTTTTCAAATATTTTTTCTGTACCAATTTCTGCTTTCCTTCTGAGATTCTAATCACATAAATATTAGATCAAAATTAGATATTGTTCCACATTGTTTTCAATCTTTTTTCCTCTCCCTTCTGGGTAATTTCTATTGGCCTATCTTCAAGTTGACTGAATTTTTCATCTCTTCATCTCTATTTTCCTGTTACCCTCTGCCCCATCAAGTGAGTTAATTTCAGCTCTGATATTTTACAGTTTCTATTTCTCTGCTGAGAATTTTCTGTTTTTCATTCGCCTCAAGCACATTTCTCTTTATCCTGTGGAGTATAGTTAGAGTAACTGCTTAACATCTTTAACCATGTCAGCATCTGGGTAACCTCCAGCTTGACATCTGTTGATTGTCCAGTCCCCTGAGATTTTTCATTTTTCTTGATTTTTGTATGCCAGGTAATTTAAACTAGTATTTTGGGCATTGTGGATATTACGTTGTAAAGACTGTGGGTTCTGTTATAATCCTCTGGGGGATGTTTTTGGGTAAGTGTGTTTTTAAGCAGTTAGTCAACTTAGTTGGGTTCAGAACACAAGTTCTGTCTTGGCATCATCAGAGGGGTTGGGGGGATGGTTCTAATCTCTTTTCCACTGTTCAAAGCCTTTGCCGTGCCACTTTGGGTCTGTCATGGGCTTTCACTACTCAGAGGTTAATCTGAGGCTTCAGCAGTGCTTGAAATATCAGCTCAGCTATACAGCCTTTGCTGTGCTGGTTCAGTCTGTTCTGTGCATATACAGCTCAAGGGTAAGCCCAAGTCATGTGTTGTTTGGGTTCTTTTATTTCTAGTTCTTTCCTCTTGGTTTTCCCTATGTCTCTTCAGCTCATAAGGACACTTTTTTTCCTTTTCCTCTGGCCAGAAAAATTGGGTCACTCTTGGAATTTTTGTTATCCTTTCCATTGTTCTGCAGTGCATCTTCATGACTGGAGCCATGAGCCCTATGAGAAAAGAGAGAAAAGAAACCCCCAGGGATCTCTTTTTCCAGCCCCTCTGCCTAGAAAGAGGGATTTCTTTCAGAACTTTAGCTGCATGTATTGCTATTTCACTATAGCTTCCTGGTCAGGGCCTGCCTTTGAGTGAAAGCCACAATAGAAAGAAAAGAAAAAGCCGGGTGTTGGTGGCTCATGCCTGTAATCCCAGCACTTTGGTAGGCTGAGGTGGGTGGATCACTTGAGGCCAGGAGTTCAGGACCAGCCTGGCCAACATGGTGAAACCCCATCTCTACTAGAAATACAGAAAATTAGCCAGACGTGGTGGTGGGCACCTGTAATCCGAGCTACTCGGGAGGCTGAGGCATGAGAATTGCCTGAACCCAGGAGGCAGAGGTTGCAGTGAGCCAGGATCACACCACTGCAATTCAGAGCAAGACTCTGTCTCAATTTGGAAAAAAAAACAAAAACAAAAAAAACAAACAAAACCACACACACAAAGAAAAGAGAAAACAACAAACAAAAATAATGGCAAATTCACCCCCATGCGGATTGTTTCTTCACATTTTGATCCCTTGCCACATCTGCCTTCCCCCTGACTTTTCAGAGTTCTCAACTAGTTTTTATCAGGAGTTTTTAGTTCTAATCAACTGGAGAGATAGGTTGCAGTGGGCTTTCTCCATCTTGGCCCTGTTTTCTGTTATTGTTCTACTTTGGGTGAAATAAAGCTTTTCTGCCTTTTTTTTTTTTATTTTTATTTTTTGTTTGTTTTTTAAAAAGTGAAATAGTGGAATTTTAGTAATTCAGCGACGTAGGTCAAACACACTCTGAGTTATAGAACATAAGAAACTGTTCTGTTGGTTTCCTATGTGTATGGCAGCGATTGCCAAAAGATATTCTGTGGATGTGAATCTAGAGGATGTCAGCAGGCATTCTAGGCAGAGAATAATGCCTTCCAAAGAAGTTTAGATAACACTACATGCTGTGTTTCCAGCTTAGAAATTCACAGGATACAGTGGCATATAAAGGCTCTGAGAATGCCTGCAATAGAGACACCCAGTGTTTCCCAAGTTCCAAAACTTATTTGACCACGGAACTCTATTTTTAATTTTTTTTTCTTTTTTTTTGAGACAGAGTCTCTCTGTGTTGCCCAGGCTGGATTGCAGTGGCACAATTTCGGCTCACTGCAACCTCCACCTCCTGGGTTCAAGTGAGCGATTCTCCTCCCTCAGCCTCCTGAGTAGCTGGGACTACAGGTGCCCGCCACCAGGCCTGGCTAATTTTTTGTATTTTTAGTAGAGATGAGGTTTCGCTATGCTGGCCAGGCTGGTGTCAAACTCTTGACCTCAAGTGATCCGCCTGCCTCTGCCTACCAAAGTGCTGAGATTACAGGTGTGAGCCACTGCTCCTGGCCCACAGAACTCTATTTTTACGTATATTTGATAGCCCTAATCTGTGGCTATCAGTATCTCTAGAAAGTGTGACATATGCTACTATTTAATACTGGTAGTTTTTCTTTAAGAAATAGATAAGAATGGTTTATAACAGCCTTGTCAAAGCATAGTCTGGCTGTGGGCTTGGAATTCATTTACACTAGATGTATTTTCAAAAGAATTCTCTTAATTGTGGCACATCCATTTGATTTATAAGACATAGAATAGTAGAGCAGAAGTACACTT